GGACTAAAGTTAAAATTTTCTATTAATAAAAATGGAAGATTTTCTAGACGTTACAGGGAAATCCCAATTCGATGATAGTGTGGTTAAAATTACAAATCACTCCTATGTTCCCCACAACACTTTAGCAATAAATAATTCTGATGAAATTCGAATATGTATTAATAATCAAGATTTGCTAACTCTCCCATGTAGAAGTTATCTGTATATTAAGGGAGAAATTGAAAATCATGATAAAGGTCATTTTATAAATAATGCATTTGCATTCTTATTTGATGAAATTAGATACGAAGTCGCAGGCTCTCGATGAAATATTGAGCTCTTACAATAAAACTACTAAATTGTCAAATGTAGCATTTGATTCTGACACAAATTTAAAAGAGTTCCATAAAGGTGGCAAGTTTAGTACATGTTTACCATTAGAGTTGTTAATGGGTGTGTTTGAGGATTTTAATAAGGTATTAGTAAATGTCAAACAAGAATTGGTATTGAAAAGATCCAAAAATGATTTGAATTGTATATTAACAACCACTAGTGCTCCAGCCAGTGGCACTGCTGATTTGATTCCTAAAATTACACTTAACTCAATTCAATGGGTGATGCCACATGTAATACCATCAGATGGAGAGAAGTTACAATTACAAAAGATGTTATTGCAAAATAAAAATTTGCAAATTGCATTTAGAAGCTTAGAGCTGCATGAACTTCCATCATATCCCAATACCACAAGACATACATGGTCAGTAAAGACATCTTCAAGTTTGGAGAAGCCTAGATATATTATATTTGGTTTCCAAACAGCTAGGGATAATAGTGCACGAAAAAGAACTGATGAATTTGATCACTGTAAATTAAAAAATCTCAAAGTATTTTTAAACTCTGAATATTATCCTTATAGTGATTTAAATCTCGACTTTGAAAATGGAGATGTCTCTAAAGCTTATGAGATGTTTATGAGGTTTAGAGAGACTTACTATAATACTATCCCAGATCCTATGATTAGTAGGGCTGAGTTTATGAAGAAATATCCACTAATTGTAATAGACTGTTCTAGACAGAACGAAACCGTGAAGGAAGGAATTGTTGATATTAAATTAGAGATTGAAACTGCAGAAAATGTGCCAGCAAATACATCTGCATATTGTTTGATAATACATGATAAAGTGTTTGAGTACAATCCTTTGTCAAATGAGATAAATAAAATGTAAATAAAAGATGAAAAACATTCAACAAGAATTGGTTGACTCTGCAAATCAAATACGAGAGAAATATAGAGCTTTAAAACGTGGCAAGTTTCTAGAGGCTGAAGAGAGGTTCCAAACATTCCAACCTTTAATAGAGCCATTACAAGAATTAAAAAAAATCACATCAGAGAGTCCTCGAATGGAGATACTCCCAATGACTCCATCTAGAATATCAATGATACCAAGATTACAACCATTACAACCATTACAGCAATCCACTCCACAGAAATTAGATTTTGGTCTTTTAGCATCAGACTATTTAGGAAATTACCTCAGTAAAAGTAGTATGACAGACACTACATATGGTATTAGACGAGAAGCAAATAAATTTTTTATTGGAAATAAGGAAGTTGATATTGCCAATGATGATGTTACAGTTGCAAATAAAACCTACAAGGGGACAAAAGGTTTGTGGCAGTTGTTAACTTTAAAAGAACCTGAGGATTATACTCAGGCTGATTTGCAAAATTATAAAGAGATTTTGGAAACTACAAATGGACATTTAAAGAGTTACAAAGATGGTGCACCAATTTCAAGTAATAGACATACTAAATATCTTAATATAATTAAACCTCTTTTTAAATCTGTTAGTGAAGGTTTGAGACAAGTGACTGGTAATAAAATAGACTATATTTATTGGGATGATCCTAATGAGCTTGTAGATAGGTTAAGACTTCTTTGGCTAAGTCGCCAAGCCGGTAACTCAGGAGTGGATAATGAAATAGATTCCATTATTGAGGAATTAAGAGAAAGTGGAATTATTTATTAAATAAAAATATGTTTATAGATAAATTTTATCGTTTATATAATCCATATAATAAGCCTACAGAACCCAGGGCTAGTCATGAACCTACTTTAAATTTAAAAGACGATAGTTGGAATTGTTTAAACCGTAAAATTGGTAATGTTAAAGATGGGGAGTTTGTAGATGATGTATCAACTTTGGGTCAGACATTAACTAGAAAAGGTGATGTATTTTTACAAGGTAAAACTAAATATGAGTTTTTAGAATCTAAGAATAAAAATTGGAATGCTAAAAAACAGAAAATTACTAATGTGGAAAAGGGTGAAAGTTTAGATGATGTGCCCACTTTACAACAGACTTTAATACGTAAAGACGGTGGTACATTTGTACAAGACAATAATAATTTTGAATTTTTAGAATCAGAAAATGGTGTTTGGAATGCTAAAAAACGGAAAATTACTAATGTGGAAAAGGGTGAAAGTTTAGATGATGTGCCCACTTTACAACAGACTTTAATACGAAAAGAAGATGGTAAATTTATACAAGATGATAATAATTATGAATTTTTAGAATCAGAGAATGGTGTTTGGAATGCTAAGAAACAGAAACTTAGCAATTTGATAGAAGGTACAGATAGTAAGGATGCTGTGAATGTTTCACAAGTTCCAAAAATGGAAGCAGGCTATTGGGATTTTAATAATAAAAGGTTAGTACGTGTAAAACCCGCCGTTGATGACACTGACTGTGTTACAAAAGAACAGACTATAACTTATGATAAAAAAGAAAAATGTTGGGATGCCAAAAAACAATTTATAAGGAATCTGCCAAAGGGGGAATATTTAGATGATATTTGTTTAATGTCACAAGCTATGTATTATGATGGATCAAAATTTGTATATGCAGGAAGAAAATTTAATTTGATGGAATACAATCCTGATTTATTAGTTGCCGACCCCACATCTTTGAGTGGATTTAAGTATATAGATAATAGACCATATATACCAGAAAACTATGTATTTAAAAGAATGGAAGATAATCTATTGATTGGGGCTAATGGTAATATATTTACAGTACAAGGAAAGAGTGATGTTATAAAAAATGAATGAAATTGCATACGAACTTCATAAGCCTGCAAGAAAGAATTTCATTAGAAGGTCTTTTAAAGTATTAGGTATAAACGAAACTGTACAAATAGATTTAATTGATATGCAAAACTATGCTAGAGAGAATTCTGGCAATAAATATATTTTAACTTTAATAGATACATTTTCTAAAAAAGCTTATGCTGCTCCACTAAAGAATAAGACAGGGTTGGTGGTTACAGAAGCCATTAAAACCATTCTACCAAAGGGGGTTAAAAACATTCAATCTGACAATGGAAAAGAATTTTTTAATCAATATTTTAGCAAACTAATGAAAAAATTAAATATTAATCACTATCACACGTTTTCTACAACTAAGGCTGCAATTGTGGAGAGGTTTCAGAGAACTTTAAAAAATTGGTTATATAGGGAATTTAGTGCTCAGGGAAGTTATAAATGGTTGGATTTACTTCCAAAGTTAATTCGAAAATATAATAATAAGGTGCATAGATCCATAGGTATGAAGCCTAACCAAGTGAATATTAAGAATAGTAAATATGTGCATGAGAGGTTGACTTCTAAAGTAGTGCAAGTTAAAAAGCCAAGATATAAGGTGGGTGATAGTGTGAGGATTTCCAAGTATAAACATGTTTTTAGTAAAGGATATACTCCAAATTGGACAGGTGAGCTATTTACAATAGCAGAAGTAAAGAATACAAAGCCTGTGACTTATATCTTGAAAGATGAAAATGGTAATATAATCAGGGGAGGCTTCTATACAGAGGAATTGTTAAAGACCAAATATAAAGACATGTATTTGATAGAAAAGGTTATTAGGAGAAAAGGTGATTTATTATATGTCAAATGGCTTGGGTTCCCAAGTAGCCAGAATTCATGGATTTCCACTAAGGATGTCCAAGGGAGCGCGCCATGAGCCGGGAGCGCGCACGAGTTCGCGTACAAACCTCGCACTGTCAAGTTGATGATTTTGAGAATATACATGTGAATGCATATGGATTTGAAATAGTAATAGTGTTATACAATGGTATTGAACATTTATATAGGCTTGTATTGGTCGAGAGCTGGATTTTTAAAAAAGTGGTCAAAAAAAGCTCACCATGTTATTCTTATGGGGAAAACGTGCCTAAAGTGATGGCTCTTTCTGGGTTCGCCACTACTCTACATTTACACTTGTAAGGGTCAATAAATGTAAGAAATAGCTTTTTTAGCTTAATATCAAATATATTTATGGGGAATAAGTAAGAAATAAGGTTTGACAATTATATAGGGATATTTAAACAAAGATCAGGATTTTTGGTTTTAGTGGCCAAAAAATGATCCCATGTTATTTCTTATGGGAAAACGTGCCCCAAGTGACTTTAAACCGGTAGTTCGCCACTACTTACCAACTTAGACATTTCTCAAAAATTGTCATTACAATCATACTTACTGACATGTAAATTACGAAAGAACCTCTTTTGAAAACAGTACTGTAACTCGCTATCCCAGTACGTACGTATTATGATACTTTTAATACTTTTCAAGTGATGTTTTATCTAAGACATTACAGTAATACGTCCATGCCGTTTTACGTGTTTTACGGGTACAATATATGATTATGATTACCATCAGTTATAGCAGTTAGCAGTTAACTTATAAAAGGCTGTAGATTGTAAATCCTGACAAAATCAGCGAGATTATCTTTTTGATATTTTAGAAACTGGACCCGACTACGACTATTGTCCTTGCTGACGAAAACAGCTGATATTAGTTAAAAAGAAACACTACTCATACTCCATTATACTATTTTATACACAGTGATAAACGCTTTGAATCTTAGTACAAATTGTGACAGATAAAAATCCCACACATTTCACGATTATCCCTCGTTGTCCCGTTTTATCCCGGTTCCCCTCCCCTCCTATCGACCGGTCTGTCGTCTGTCGGCATGGTACATACATGGTGAGTGCTTCCTTATAAGTATTTACAACTTAAATAAAATAAGTTAGGTACGTTAAGTATTACTAGTTATGGTACACGCTAATTGTACCATCTTCCCCTGTATATCGGTCTCTCAAGATAAAACTTAAATTTTATTGTTTGTAAAGTATCGTAATGACGTTTCTACATAGGGAAAGGATTGATTAAAATATTTTACAATCAGCAAAAACTAAAAGTTTATATTTAGAAATGAATGTACCTTATTGCCTATTAAATACTACTACAAGCATGAGAATTAATTACTAAAAGTAAGAGATGATAATACTGCATAAAGCTAGCAACATAATTGTTTAAATTGAAACCTTAAAAGGTAATAGCAAAATTATGGTACAATGATTTTATGAATGTAAAAACTTAAGTTACAGAAAAATTTACTTTTTACATCATGTAGGCACCCTGAGGTTACAAGGGCGGTAATTAAATTAATAAAATTAACCATAACCTTTACTGTAACCTAATAAGTTCAACATTTTTAATAAGATTATCTTATAGTTATAAGATTTATGTTGTAGTATTACTATGTGTTTTTTATTGACTAAAAGTCAATGGCCACATGAAGAAATAATTGAATTTTGTTTGGAGAAATGTATAAACATACTGTAAGAATGTTTCAGCTCTGATTATCACTATTTACATAATGCTACACTAGTTTAATTTGTTTATCAAGAAAATTAAGTTTATCTTTTTATTGACACAAAAAAGTTATTAAACTTTAAGTTTTGCGCAAAAATGTCTTGTTCAGAAAAAATATGTTATTTTCTCCATGTATGATTATAGTAATCCGAATTCTTTATGGAATGTGTACTTATGTCGATTATGTTAGGTACCGGTATTAAAAAAAAATATTTATGATATCAGATAGAAACATCCCTAACCAAAGTGAAACCCTAAAAAAGAGCATTTAAATAGGCTACTGTATTTGATTTATATCTTGTATAAAACATAATTTTTATGGGTAGGTAGTAAAAAATTTCCCATTTTAAAGAATGTGTGTAACTATAAAGTTTATATGATTTTAACTTTAAAATTAGAAGTGAGTGCTACAATTTTTTTTCATAAGCGACACATCAGTGATTATGAGAAATTATAAAGCAGGCTATACATAATTGAATCTGTCCCTATGTATGTTTCTGTCTTCTTCATGAAAGTAGGCCCTATATACGTCAAATAACACTTGTAATAATATATTTACACTTAAACATACAACATACTGTTTTATTTACTCACAAGGTATGGTAAATATGTAATTACCGTCTTGTGAGTAAACAATAAGTGTAAATATATTTTTAAAAGGGTTATTTTTGACATATATTTGTACTTTCAGGTAATTTAATAACACGTACGATGATGATCAAGAAGTTGTTTAATTCTCCATCTAAATATCGCTTAGGGTTCCGCTCCAGAATTTCAGAATCATTTTATTGGTCGGTTACTATGGCAGAAAAAAATAAAAGAATAATCTACAATCCTTGGACATTTTAATCTCAAAGGGATATTCAAAGTTGAAATTAATAAGAAAAGATCTTAAGAACCTTTATATATATACACAAGTAGATATGTTATGTATACATATATATAAATCCTATTATAAAAGATTACCTGTGCTAAGACACTATTTCTTTTTTGTAAGTATAGTTTTAAACAAATAATTATTGGCAAAGCATTTTATAATTTGAGGTTTTACTGATGGGAAAGAATATTTCACTGTTTAGACATCTTAAAAAGTCTAAAGTTTTACCATTCTACAACATTATTTACAATTTATAAATTATTATTCAACCAATTTTAAAAACTGTTTTTAAAACCAAATATTTATTTGTAAGTAATACATCTCTGCTTGTCTATTTGTACTGTATAACCACAGACAATGGAAAGTATTATATTGTCTGTGGTATAACCAAAGAGTAGAGCCATAGACTATGGTAGAGCACAAATTGTAAATCCACGCCATCTAAGAGACAAATATTTGGTCATAATCAGCACACTAGCACAATCAAAAGTTGCCAACGAAAACACACTAGAAAACATTATTCAGATTTCAAAATAATATAATGAGAGGTATACTTTTACTGTACTAGGAAATGTGTACAATTACAAAAGTATACTAAACTGTCAGATGGAAACATTGGAAACAGCTGTGATATCTGTAATTGTGAAGGTACTTTTGCTTATCAGCTAGTGTTGTTATGTTTGCATTTGATCAGTAAATGTCAAAAAGCTGTTGATAAAATGGAGGATATAACCTCTTTTTTGTTTTTAAAGATGGACAATGACCAGAACAAAGAAGAAAATGAAGAAGTAGAACCAGAACTGAAAACATGGATAGACTACACTAAAAGTTGTGGTAAGTTTTGTTTTAATACTACTTTTCTTATTTCGGTTTCCATTTGATCTTTGATGGAGTATTTTTTTGTTCAACAAATTATGTTCCAAGTTTTAATAGATCATTTTTACCAACTATGAACCCATTGGGGCTAAACAGTAATGTGATTAACAATATTGTGGGCAAACAAAATATGTCTTGTTATAATAGTAAAGTAAAGGTTAGACAAGCTCAAAAGTCTACATATGCTATGCGATTGTTTATTTATACTAAAGCATACATATTTTTTTGTTAGTGTCTTGGCCAGTGGCATTTTGAAAGTAGATAATACAAACATGCATGGAGAAGCGGTTTTGTCGATTTACTGGGAATAAAACCTGTCTTTCCCATAATAAAGCCTGACACTCTAACCTCTAGGTAACACCACAGAGAAGTACAAAGCAAAGGATACACTCTGTGGTACACTTGAGTGGTGTCTAGCATTAGTGCGGGTGTCTAGGACTCCAACGCCCACCCCCTTGCCTTCATGTACTACTACGCTAACGGTGAAAGTAAGAGCCTGTGCCCTGTGCGATAGGAATTTCTAATCAGTGCTCGCAGTTCAGGTCTTGCTCGTCACAAGTATATTTCTGGCACAACATACCAGAACTGAAAGCATACTGTTGTCCCATAAGCATGGTTTCCTCCGTACCTTACTTTTCTGTGGCAGCTCACTCCCTTTAAATACGGTATGTAAAGTGTATAAATTCAATTCCCTTGCTAAAGCTGAGGCCTGTTATAGAGTAGAAAAGAGATTTATTTAATAAATTAAGCCTCTGGCATATGTTGCCGTATATACTTTTCTATGTAATCTTTTAAATCCCAACATCTAAAAGAAGAACAGATTGAAAACTACAGCATCTTTACATCTCCATCAATCAACGTTGTGAAAAACTAAAAGATAAAATAGAACTTAAAGGTGGCTCACTTTGTATGAGGCCCATTCAATTGTATACTTTGTGAATACAAGATTGTAAACTGGCACAACTGCTCTATAGGTAGAAAGCTTACTTTAATATCCAATAAATAATAGGATTTTTTCAGATAGTCCTGCATTTAGAATTGATGAAAGACTGCATTATCTTCAGTATAGTGTTTCATTCATTTCAGTAGCTTGAACAACATCAGGGTTGTGTTAAGATTCAGTGGAGCCCTGGGCAAACCCAAAAGCAGCGCCCCCTTTTTACCTAGTGCAGGCGGGCGGTGGTTGGGGGCACCCAGCAGGCGCCCCCAAACCACTAGCGCCCCTGGGCGTATGCCCAGTCTGCCTGTTTATAGAAGCGGGCCTGAACAACATACAGACTAATTAAACTGTTATGTTGGAATGATGTTTTATTTTAATGTCTAGGAACTTTTGCAGGGAGAGATAGGGACAATGAGCCGTTAAAATATGGATGTGAAGATCACTGGACTTGGAATAGACACGATCGCAGCCATGAGGTAAATATGTGACATATAATTCCTTATTATCGTTAATCATTACTTTAAGACAGTGTCATATACGCGTGCGTGATTTAGGGTAAATATGAACGCATGTAGAGATGTAGAATGGAATCAGATAAATTGTGTAGCTTTTTTGTTACTGGCTAAGATAATTCGTTTCTTAAGTCAGGGCCATTTACTAAACTAAGCCCAATGATAAGTGACGGTTTTCAGGATGTAATATAAATTGAGATTTAAATGTGGAGAGTAATTTAATTTATTCACAAATTTGAAGATCAGATCATTGAGATCAACAGATTCGCCCGTTTTTGTGTTTTCAAAGCCCATAAGGTATTTTTGAGTGCTAGCTAACATAGCTGTGACATCACGATACGCTACAGTTATGGTGAATTTATCTGATGTATCCACTATATTCTACTGTGAGAATATCCTGATTTTAAACCAACCTCGTTAAACTACCATTTGTGTACTACTTTGTAAACTCCCTCTGTTCCTCAGGTCAGACTGTACGGGTCAGGCTTGCGGGTGGCTCACTTCCACCCGAACTGGAGCAGTGGCACTGCAGGTGTCCGGGGCACCCGAGTAATTAACAATGGCCGCTACTTCTGGGAGGTTCAGGTAATATATCTAAGAGCAAGGGTTAAAAAGAGCTTCACATTCAGTGGTAATTAATTTCTGCAACTGAATATTTGGAAACTAAGTACAGTAAAGTATAAACCTATATTTATTTACAAAATTACATCACTGTTCAAGGTGTTAAGTTGTTTTTAATGAATTCACTGACCATTTCTCTCGAAACACCAAGGGTGTACAGACATACATTAGATTTTATATTTTCTCAGGTGTCTCAAAGGATATTCGGGACGAGTATGATGTTTGGGATCGGCACCAAGAAGGCTCGGCTGCACCGCAACCAGTTCACCAACATGATTGGAGAGGATAAGCACAGCTGGGGTCTTAGTCACAAGGGTCTTATCTGGCACGGTGGGGTGTGGTCGCAATACACGGCTCCTTTCCGAGAGAACCAGGCTACCACTGTGGGCGTTCTGTTTGACGGGGTCGAGGGAACATTGACGTTCTACAAGGACAGTAAGTGTCTGGGCGTGGCGTTCCGAGACCTGCAGCAAGTACGGGAGCCATTGTACCCAATGGTGTGCTCGACAGCCTGCAAGACAGAGATGACCCTGACATACATGCGACGCGACTTTGTCAACCTTCAAGATCGGTGTCGTGCAGTCATTCTCGAAGCGATCAAAAACAAACGTGACCTAGAGAAACTGGAAGTGCCGACATTGATCAGGAACTATCTAGCCGAGGCAGTCTCCACGCAATTTGCTCCGATCAATTATTATGTTCTGAACGTTTGAAACTGAGTGAAGTTACAGTTTCATTAGTAATGTTTAAGAAGGCTCTAGGCCTGGATTGTGATTTTTTAAGAGGAATAGCAGCTAGATTACCCTGGAAAAAGTCTAGGTAAGCCATAGCAAAAACAGAAAACACATGATATTCCGTATCTATTTCGTCCAATTGTACTTGTTCACACTTGACAATATCTCCCATGAGATGAAATATTTTAATTGTTTTCTATACGTTTTGTCTTCTGTGTGTACTAATGGCATTCCGGTACTTTTTGAAAGGTAAGCTAGCTGCTATGCCTTTATTTTTAAAATCACAATTTTATTAGTGAGTTAAGAATTTCGCACAATGTTATCCAGCCAGTGCAATGGCTTGTTTAATAGTAAGTAGTAAAAATAATTAATATTTTCATACAGTAGGCCCACTGCGTTTTTATTTTAAATTAATGTTGTTGCGTAAAAGATCTAGTCCAAAACTAGTCTAAGTTTTGTCAATGTAAGTGTGATTTCATGTGATTTTAGAAGATTATTTACTTGTTACTAATTTAGATGTTTTGTTTTTATTTGTTTTTGTTATATTTTTAGGTAATTTGTGTTTGTTGCTTTATGGGTTATTATATTATTGAATAATTCTCGTAATTAGGCTTTTGTTGGTGGTGTTAAGCTTTCGGTGTACCTATGAGGTGATATTCAATTTTTAAATAGTAAATATGTAGCTATAGTGTAACAGAGTTATAAAATTAAAATGGTGGTTTTACAAAATTGTAGGAGAACATTATAAAGCAGGAGGTAGAATTGTAAGTTTTTTTGTATGTTTGGTTATAATATAGTAGAAGAGGACAACTATTTTGTAGACTATTGCTCTCCAACATTCCAGTAATGAGACTAATCAAAACTTTTAATTTATCTTGAACGTTTGGTAAATATATTTTAAAATCTTAGAAACTTTATACATAGTTGGCTGTTTTTTTAAACAGTTCACTTATTTACTGCTTTTCAAACAAAACAAAATTCTAGCCAAAGCAAAAAACTTGTTAGAAATTTAACAAACAAATTACAAATAAAGGGACATACTGGAAGTGAAAACCTGATTGTGGCGATAACATTAGCAATATATTCTGTATATTTAATTTTAAGGCTACCCACACATTTTATCAACTTTGTGTCTAACATTGTTTGCGCAAGCAATAAAAAATGTAAGTTACATTAACTATGAATTACTGATAAAAGCAAATTATTACTAGCGTATGATTATTAAAGCTTCATTGTGATCTACAGATATATTTTTGGTAGATAATGAAAAGAATAGTCAATGAGTAAACTATAGGTTAAATAGCTGTATAGGTGATGTATATTTGTAATTTACCTTGATATTTTGCTTTCAACTATAAGAAAATACTCATTTTTAAAATTAGGACAACATGAAGTTACATTATACAAGATCGCTTTTCAAAAACAGTTAATTTTATTTTGTTCAAGGTAAGTTTCATTTATATTTGAATTCATATCTAGACTGAGTTTGAGTAATAAAAACTCCTCGTATATTCACACTTTCACAGAGCAACTTTTGTTGTACGCGGACAGTTTTTTTAGTAAGGGCCGTTTTTACGTATAAATCCGTGTTTCACTAGTACTCCGCAACGAGGTTTCTTCTCGCCACTTACTGGCATCATTTGTGAACATAATTACACCATTTGCAGCTCTGTGGCATTTCGGGAGGAATTGTGTTTTGGTGGGTACTTCTCACAAACGACCACAAAGGAAAAGGGATTTCATGGCCATTTTTACTCTCTCTAACCCATTACCGCACTTTATCCTCACTCATTGCATTAGGGCCATAGCCTTCAGTCATTTAGCAATGAATGTCGGTATCGGATATGTTTCTTGTAATAAAAAAAAAACTTATCACTGACCTTATCTATCTTATCACGCACCTGGCAAGAGATTCGATAGTTAGAAAAATTTAAAAATCACATTGAAGCATATCAGGTACAGAGCTGCAAATTTTGTGTCATGCCCACAAATGGTGCCAATAAGTGGCGAGGAGCTTCATTGTACAAGCAAAGTACTTATTTATACGCAAAAACGGTACTTACTAAAAAAATCGCCCTCACATTTAGCTAATTCTTTATAAATCTTTTTTAAAGTTATTTAATGTATTCTTGTAAAAAGTTGTTCATCCGTGGATTTCTCAGTTGTGCCATATTGTGCAATACTGTATTTCTCTAGGAATTGTTGTGTTTTGCTACCCAATCTGTATATAACATATTGTACAGAAGGTGATATTTTATAAAGAGATGTCACATAAACAAATAGTTTGATTAGTATATCCTGTCAACCCATTCAATCAGTTTAAGCCATCACCAGTTCAGAATAATTTTGGCACACAGTGTATTGATTGGACTTGAAGTACACTCTTCATCTTCTTCGATCACTGGATTTTAGGAGGCATAAGTTTCCGGTCTTTGCTGCCACATCCATCGCGCAACACTCTACCCCACTAAGACTGCCTGTGGTCCTACTGTGGCTAAACTCCGTCACGGATGCTGCGACTTTTAGTTCAGACCTAACGTTATCTATAGTTCTACCGTTCTACCCACCAACAAAATTTTTGGCTGAGTGATAGTTATTAAGCTTATGAGAGTTCAGAATGCATTTTAATTCAATCAGGTCGGCAGTGGGATTTGAATAATTTAGCCGAATATTTTCATCAGGACTTTTAGGACTCACTAGAACCATCTGTGTGAGTTAGAATAGAATGGTGCAATTACTACCCCCAACTACCCCCAACATTCAAAGGGAGAGCTAACTTTTGTCTACAAAAGGTTTAAAATGGCAAAATGGAAGATTTTTATAGCTTAAAAAATCTCGGGACCGAATAATCTTAATTGTTTGTCTACATAGTTTCAGTAAATAAGAATACTTCAAGCAGAAAACACAGGCAAAAAAACAAACATAGATTTACACACACTGTATTTTGTAAGAATAAGTTATTTGACTTAATATAACTCTTATGTAAATAACATTTCTATACATCCTAGCCATTCATTCATATACAGACATACAGTACAAACAGGCATTCCAAATTATTGCATTTAACTCCTACAAAAGTGATCAATCAAAAAATAAATTTTGCTTCACTCCGGTTACGAAAAGAGTAAAATTCATTTGATAATCGTTGTCACTAAAGTAAATTGACTAAAGTTATCTATGTACACAACTGAACACTTTGTTACATTAGTTATATTCTATAAATGTCACTTATAGGACCTATGGCTTTCAACATATCAATAAACAATTAAAAGTATTGAGTAACAAAATAAAAGGAATTAACTTATTGTTATTTACAAAATAACGGTACAAATAACTAACTAGTTACGTCTGACGTTTTACAAAAAGCAGTAGCGAACTTATATTTAAAACACAATCACAATATTCTATTATTAAAATTAAATACATACACAATAGTTAAAGTTTATCATACAAAATATGGCAGTGGAAGAAGATACCTATACAAGACTTGGTAGCACCTGGAACTTGTGGCTCTTAGCCTGTGGTTAACAATTCTACCTGGAAACAAAGTGTAGTAATTAGATAGTCATTCAAGACTTGGTAGCACCTGGAACTTGTGGCTCTTAGCCTGTGGTTAACAATTCTACCTGGAAACAAAGTGTAGTAATTAAATAGTCATTCAAGACTTGGTAGCACCTGGAACTTGTGGCTCTTAGCCTGTGGTTAACAATTCTACCTGGAAACAAAGTGTAGTAATTAAATAGTCATTCAAGACTTGCTAGAACCTGGAACTTGTGGCTTAGCCTGTGGTTAACAATTCCACCTGGAAACAAAGTGTAGTAATTAGATAGTCATTCAAGACTTGGTAGCACTTGGAACTTGTGGCTCTTAGCCTGTGGTTAACAATTCTACCTGGAAACAAAGTGTTAGTAATTAGATAGTCATTCAAGACTTGGTAGGACGTGTAAGTTATGGCTCTTAGCCAGTGGTTATCTTACCTCAGCCCTTGGAACTTGGAGTTTTTTCCGTGATTTTTTTTCACATCCAACTATGTCAACATTCTTGTAAACTACTCCTAATGACCCTATACTCACCGGACTAGGTGGTTTTGATGCACACTTGGCACCTACTGACTCTTTGCAGCAAGTTGCCCTTCTTGAGCGTTTGTTTGCGCGGCGTCACAAACTGGTCTGTCTCTTCGATCGTCGCCAGCCAGAAGCTCAGTTTGTTGGCAAAGTAATGGCAGCTACCTCTTGCGCCGTTGCACTCTATAAACGGTGTCGCACGGAAGTCTTCCAAACACGAGCCTGGACTAGCGAGTGATTGACCTCCTCCCTCTGCGCCAGCCGCCGTGTGCTGCAGAGAACAAATACAACAGTTAGCTGGCATTACAACAAGCAATGATAATGTGTAGTATGCATTTTCTGTGTTTAAATTTGTGTGTGCTCTAAAATGATACAATTTTTAAGAGTTATTTGAAATTCTGTATTATTAGGCTTTTAAACTAAATCTTTACAACCACAAGTAGAGACATATTCTGAAGTAGGTACCACACTGTCTAGAAGCAATTCTGTGGATTTCAGTATAGAGAAAGCTATCCAGCTTTTACCAATATTTGAATAAATAAATATTATAAAACATCGTAAACATGCATTAACACGTTCAATTCGGCACCAAAATTGGCTACATCACTCGTACGGCTAAAATATGAGAAGTCAAATTAACTTTCCAAATATCGTTTTAGATGATGAGTTGTTATTTTGTCATAATTTTCAAATTTTGACACGAGATATATGGCGTCATCATTAGTGACAGGAATATTTGTCATGCGCCGCACCCGTCCGGCTGCCATGTAGAACCGACACACGTGACACCAAAAGTAATCCTTAGTTTGTGTTGTAAACGGTTGGTGTCTGTATCTCCTAGTTCATCTTCAGTGAGAAAGTCATCAATCCGTGAAGAATTAGCCATAACCATTCACTATTGCACAACACTTACATCATATTACAAACTAAAACACAAAAACATAAACACAAATAACAAAAACCGTGCGCGACAGGAACGACGCCGTACGAGGAGACACAAAGGACTACTTCATACAGTGCAACGAAAAACAACATCCTCCGTCGACGGCTCAGCACATCGGTTGGCAGTGCCAGCGATAACGAGATGACTGAGCACCCCGCATTGAACGTGTTAAAAGCATTGAGAAATATTAATAAACTGGTCATTTTTACAAGTAATTTGACTAGTTATAAACAGAGTTAGTCAAATAAAATAAATAACTTATTGATAAGCATTGTACGTGTTATAAAATTACCTGGAAGTACAACAATATGTCAAATAGCACTAGTAGTTATTATATTTACACGTCAAAAGACGGTAAATACATATAAAAGATGGTAAGGGGTGATCGATTTTGTTTGGGCACTCCACCAGACCCAAAAGGCAAGTTTGCCTGGGTCTGATGATGTAAGATGAAGATGTAAGAAGCCGACAAAGATCCAAACTGGAATTCACTAGTGCAGTTCCATTCAAAAAGTTAAAAAATGGTTCAGCATTAAATGTTGGCTGTGCTCTCAGCTAAAGATAATTTCAAAAAAAATTTTACTGGTCATGCATGGTAATATGCATAAAATACACAACACATTTGAAAGCTCACCATAACAAAGCTGTATCCGATCCACAATCCATCCCATCCCGCGGGACAGTCTGGTACGTTGACGGACTGACTGTGCACTGCTATCACATTCGAAGGCGCCTCACACACCACACATCTGTGGGGAAACAGTAACATTAAACAGTGTTAATTAAAACAATACATGCGCAAATCTTTTTCTGTTTCTGTTGTATACTAAGCTGTTATTCTTAGAATCCATAGATATTTTATGTGTCAACCAGATTGTGCTGTCAGACATTTCGATTTTGAAGATGCCTCAGTTGACGACACAACTGCGTTGACACCGATAACCTCTAAGAACCTCTAAAAAAAATCTTTTATCGACACTGGTTGCAAGAGACAGCAAATTAAAGTCAACTTAGCCTCTCTGTCCACCTTCCTCTTCATCTACCATCTGCCGTCTCACTCATCCTTCACCTCATCCATCTGCCTTTTTATAGATATTCTTCTCTACCTTCTCACAATCAACTCCGATTTTCCTAGGAATTCTCTCTTCTCAAATTCTTCTATCATGTCCAAACCAACCTAGTGTAACCATTTGTTAAAGGTAAGTTAAGATTGAGGGAAAACAGAGGTAGACATGATAAAAATAATATACTAATGTTAGGAAGACTACTCTGTTTCACTGTATTGTACTTGAAATTTAAAATGTTTACCGTAACTGGTTAAGTTGTATTTAAGATTTAATAATTTTCAGGAAACAAAAAGATTTATTTGTGAATGATATAAGCAGCATGTCATGTAACCATAGCTTACCTGGAGATGTATTCTCGGATCTGAGATTCTTCTACAGGCATCATGGGTATTGGTGAGTTCGTGCTGAGCCAGTAAGACTTGTCATTTCTGCTGGCGTAGTTGCAGACGTTGTTGAAATCACAGAATAAGAACGGCATTGTTGAGAACTTCCGTATACAAGAGCCAGCAAAACCTGATAAACACAAACAATGTGATTATCAAACAAAGGAGAAAATTATTAAGGATGTAACATAAAGCATGAGGGTCTAAGTCATAAGGGGGGGGGATAGCAGGCTTACCTGAATGGGAAAGAGTCCAATAAACTTTCACAAGAACCACAAAACTTTACTTTAATAATTGTGTCTATAGTGTAAAGTTTTTGTGTTTCCTTTGCTATCCTCACGAAAAATCCTATGGAAAACTATCAAACGTTCCACAAGTTTAAAGATTAACCCATTTCCGCCAACTCATGTATGTAGCCCGTCACCACTATTTGCTCCGAGATACAGTAGCCGTACTAGTGTAACCCACTAGTACCTAAGTAGTTCGTCAGCGAGTACTCAAGTTCATGTGTGCTTCTGCTTATAGTGCAATCAACCTGTTCGACTGACATTGGCATGCTCAGAGTTGGCTAAGTCATTGCACTGACGAGTGCAGCGTTTAGGTCTTTCTACATAAGCGGGTTCAAATTCCGTACATGTGCAATCCATATTAGACATGCCAATGTATGACTCAGCTGGTATAGAAGGCCCACCTTAAACAAACGGTGTCCGGCTTGGGTGGAAGTTGACAACATTAGTAATTAAACCTAGGGGGGGACCTAGAAAAATAATTTAATTGAGAAATAAAAAATATTCTGGCAAAAATGGGTTATCACAGTGTGTTAATAAATTTATATACTCTGTCACAGTCATATTTTATGATAACTGACTTTGTGTTAGGGGAAAAAATGTGATGTTTTTCAAAACCATTATCTGTTTTGAATGATGTTTGAATTTACTGTTTGTCGGTTCTTTAAAAACAAATGACACTCTTGTTATTAAAAATTGGTTTAACGTGTTACATAGGATAGTAACAATCAACTATTTATTATGCATGACTATTGAATCTACCTAAGTCCTGGTTGTGAGCCTTCTCATTTCCTTCTATGTACAACAAACTGTATCCGTCCCATAGCTTGTGGTGTCCGGGGTAACATTCTGGAACCATGTCGTTCTGCGAGTGTTTCACCAGGAGTATTCCGGTCATGTAGTCCCCTTCATCCAGACATGGTGCTCCTGGAACTCCAGGAAGTCCAGGTTGTCCCGGAGTACCCTATGTTGAAGGTTTGGTTTGTAAGTTATTGGTTTGAGAACAAATTAGTAAATATTTAAAATTATTTAAAGTGGGATAGAGCTCAGCCATACTTGAGGAATTATCAGTAGTCTAAATCCACCTGTCACTGTCAGTATAGACAAATTATACTGACCTTTTATCAGACAAAAATCTAAATAAACTTTTATTAATAATAAAATAGCTTTTAACCAAAAAATAAAATAGTCAGACCTATATCTACAATAGTTTCATGCAAGAGAGCATTTGTTATCGAAAACAAATGAGTTTGACGAAAATTGTAAAAAGCTATGTAGACATTAGAAAACAAGTGGGAACGGGGCTGGTCTAGCGCTAGAGGTGAGGACTTTGGCCCCTGAGGACCCGGGTTCAAATACCTCTAACTACCAATGGCATTATGTGATAATGCTGTGACTCTCTAGGCCTAGCCTAAATTAATTTGTAAAATTGTTTTGGTCTAAAGCATATTGTGCTAGGATTTTAAGGAAGATATTTAAAATAAATTTAGTATTGCTATTAAACTGAAACTAACCGCAAGACCAGGTTGTCCATCAAAGCCTCTGTCTCCCCTAACTCCAGTCGGTCCTTCGGGTCCAGGAGGTCCGGGTTGCCCAGGGAATCCTCTCTCTCCCTTCATTCCTTCTATTCCTGGAAGTCCGTCTCTGCCTTGAGGACCAGGCAAACCTGGGGTTCCTGTTTAGCATAAAAAATATTAGATTAGTCTTACTGAAGTGATGTTTGAAGCCCCAATTACAGGAAATAAAGTAGAGTGACTGGATAGTTTTAAGATGGGTTGGTAACAGAAGCACTGCTGCCGGTCTACATTCATTATATTTGTCTATGGCAATACTACAGGTTATCTTTGGAAAATAAAAGTGAAATACTTTATTCATTATGTCTCAGATATGAATTTGGAATCCTATAAAAATGTTCAATTTGCACACTGGCCCCCACGTATCCATTTATTTCGTTTAAATAAAACTGTTACTTGCTGGAAGAAATTGTTTAATCTATTGAAACGTTCAAACCTGGCATTCCAGGAAGTCCTTTGTCTCCCTTTGGTCCAGGAGGAGGCCGGAATCCTGGCTCTCCCTTGTCACCCTTCATTCCGTCAAAGCCTGGTTTTCCCGGTGCTCCTTCTCTTCCTATAAGTCCAGGTTCTCCCGGTTTTCCTGGTGCTCCAGCGTATCCAGGCAGTCCATCCTGTCCTTTGTCACCCTTAGGTCCTTGATATCCTTGTAGACCCTTGGGACCTACAAGTAAAATGTTTGTTAATAAAATGTCTCATCAGCTGACCTTGAATTTTTAGGTCAACAGACAAATAAAACAAGAATGAAATTATACGCTAACCCAACAAAAAATATTACGCCAAGTTACCAGGATAGCCAACATTTTTAACATAACATCCATGCTTATTAGCACGTTCGCTGCGGCACGTCAAATAGCGGGCGTATCCCCAGTGCGGCGCAGCCCTCAGCGTCGAGTAAACCCGATTGCCGCGTGTGATTGGCCTTTTCAATTTTGGTCTGACGAATAGCAAATAACGTGAGGGGATGTCCTGCTTTACAACGAGAGTCGATGTAGTTCGCTAAACACTCACAGATAGCAGCACTGCTTGGAACGTAGCCGGTCCCATTGGAATCGTATTGCCAAATGGAGGGAAAATGACGGGACAAAAAGAAGACTTTTGAGATTGCCAGACGGGGATTTTACGGGGAAATTTACTACCAACCTACACCACAACAAAATGAAAGTCACATACTACACGCTAACGTCGTATAGGTCCGCTTTCGGCCGACGCTAGAGCAAAAACGAAGATATACAAAAAGCATTACCGAGCGTTCCCGATGGGGTACGGACGCACCGTACGGGGGCCAAGCGCCGTACCCGATCGGGAACGGCCGCACTCTACGTGTTAATGATGGTCGAAACCAGACATTTTGAATCTCAAAACTGAAACCGAACTTAAAAAATCAAATCCCGAATCTGGAGTCTAAAAACTGAAAGGTGAAACTTTTTTATTTGCCAAGTGAAAGCTCCAAAAAAATAAAGGTAATAATAAAATATTTAATATGCAATCAAAACTGAAAGAAATTGGACCCAGACCCTGACATAATAATTATCCTGAATATATGGCTAATAAACTAAACCTAAATAACATATATTTTTAATACATCACAAACACTAAAATAAATTAAACTCCTTACACTTACATAAATATTAAATCAATTAAAAAAACATTATTTATTTGGTTTAGTAAAATACAGTACCGATATGAAACTGTATGGTACGTTGATCCAGTATTAGTATTTTTTATACCTTTTGCAGTTCACACACTGTTACATCAGTGACTCGATGATTTGTTTGCTCCATTGCTGCCAGCTTGAGTGTAAACGGTGTTAAGAGCAAAAATAATTATGCCAAAAAATGTCAGCTATTTCAAAACCAGAACTTACAAAATCCTTAATTATTTCAAAACTTTACAATCACGAAACTCGCCGATCGAATCTCGAAACCGAAACTTTTCCAAAGCTTAGATAGATGGTTTTGAGACTTGAGACTCAGTTTTGACCCTGCACTAATGCTTATTATAAGTCAATGAGTTAATTATTTGCTTTAATATAAGTAAAATACTGGATCAGCCGTTTTGTGAGCGATGGCACTACACAAACAACCCCTATCGGCCATAAAATGACCGATCGCCAGTTCCAGAGTTAAAACCTCAAATAGCTTTGGGGTTAAACAAACATTAATTTATGATTTTTACATGTCCAACAATGGTTTTCGTTATTTTCCTCTTATTCCAACTTTGCAACAGATGGTTTTGTATGACCTGTATGACAATCCAAACTTTACTGTATAAGTACAAAATAGTACTTTAGCTTTGGTCCTCCTGGCCCAAGGAGCTTTATATGAGTTCTACATCTTTAGTGATAGAGCCTGCAGAGATGTTTGGTCAAGTTTCTCACCTGGCAATCCCTGATTTCCCTTCTCTCCAGGAGCTCCCAATGCAGCTGGTCTGCCTGGCTCTCCCTTAGCTCCTGGATATCCGGGTTGTCCTTCCTTTCCTGGGAATCCTGGTGGTCCATTGGCTCCTGGAGGTCCTGGCACTCCCGGGAATCCTCTGTCTCCCTTCTCTCCCACGGGACCTAGGGATCCTGCTGGGCCGACTGGACCTTGTTTTCCTGGAAGACCAGGGAAACCTGGTTCTCCTATAGGAAAATATTTGTAAGATTACTTCCTACATTAGGAAACCAAGCAAACTATTATATAGATTCATCAACACTAATGTTTGTAACTTATGTATTTATGAAATTTAGTTGTAACAATACACATTCCTTGCCATGCGACTCACTAGTGTGTACTGTATAAGTCATGTGAAAGCCAAAAGTCAATGTGTGTTACGTGATGTTAAATGAACTTAAAATGAATTAAGATAATCTTAGAATAACTGACAATCATTTGGGTAGAATATTGATAATTTAAGAGAAGGTTTGACTATACCTCTTTTATTTGGTTTAAAATTCTATGAAATATTTTTTTACTTTCTATTAATATATTAAATGCAACTGGGTTTTTTATAATTACTCGTACATTCCTAAAACTGGAGGTTTTCAATGAAATGACTTATGAGGAAATTTGAAAGGATAGAGTTCAGCTAAGATCCTTCTACTCTCTCAAAAAGTCCTCTAGAACAAAATAATATTGGTTTTTTGCGAGATTGCTTGCAGGGAACTTTCAAAGATTAGTTAGAAGAACTTGTAACCTATCTAAAGAAAAAAAAAAACTCTAAAACTGACTTCTTAGGATCAAATAAATTAAGTAAAAATCCTCTGTTATAACATTGTATATAAATATTGTATATTAGAAGAGGCTTTTAAAATTTCAATTAGTAGCAAAAATTTTTACTAAAAGATTTTGTAATTTACCCTTTTGTCCTGGTGTTCCCGGGATTCCAGCTCTTCCTGGCTTGCAGATCAGACCAGGAAGTCCTTTTTCTCCCTTCTGGATCAATCCTTGAGGTCCTGGGGGTCCGGGAGGTCCTCCCACTCCTGTCAAACAGCTGACAGTTTAAAAAAAATGTTTACACTGATGAAGAGCTTAAAATCTGCTTGCCTTACATAACTTATTTTCCACCACCAATTACGGCTTTGATTGACCACATGTACCTTGCAATATGAAAATTGATATTACCTCTGAAGCATACAATTTACTCCATCTATGTTCCCATTTATGCTCTTATCAGATTATCATGATAAAAACTCTGTGAAATAGTCTCAGAGCAGGTCCAGCCAGATCAGCTCTCTTTAACGACCTAGGCCAAACTCAAGGGGACATGTGATTGATGAGAAATTATGGTAGCTTCCAATCTAAGTAGAATTTTGCTTGATTATGATTTTAAACAGGAATTTCAACAATAAATACTAAAAATTACAACAATGAGAAAAGACGTGATGAAAATTGTTAGAAAATTTAAAAATTACAGAGCTTATATGTTATACAGTTGTACTGTTTCTACTTAAGTTTTTTAGGGTTTAGCTACATGATGCAGCTCTTTGTTCAAGTTCTTGCTTTAAGCAATCGCAGTATATAATAAAGGTAGTACCTGGGGACCGAGCTTTGCTCGGGGAAAATCATTAGTTTACTCTGAAAGCAAAAAATTATCATAATGTTGCTGCCACCACTCAGCTCACCAGACAATCTTTACATTGAGCTATTTTACCTTTGGGTCCATCATTGCCAGGACTTCCCTGAATGCCTGGTGGACCAGGGAATCCTCGGTCGCCCTTCAGTCCTTTTTCTCCTGGTAGTCCGTCCAATCCGCGATCTCCCTTCAATCCGCTGTATCCCTGCAATCCTGGAACTCCGGGTTCTCCTTTGTCTCCCTTCACCTCCACCACGGGTCCTGGAGGTCCTTGGTCACCCTTATCTCCTCTCTGTCCTGGGTAACCAATCACTCCTGGCCCTCCTGCAAATAACATTATATGTTAGTATTGTTAGTGGGATTTCCAGTACATAGTCTACAATGTCCTCCCTAAGAGCACTAGGGAAATGGCCGCTTGGTGTAAAATAAATGAAAATAGTTTACAAATTACTGATGTTAATCAATATCTATTATAACTCCTCAGCGCTTAGTCACTGACTGGGATACCATGATTTAGAGATAATGCTTGGTTTGACAAACGTTTAACTTGTTTTATAAGAACTAAGAATGTTCAATTCGCCCAAAATACGGACAATGTTGGGTAGTGTTGGGGTGTGTGTAGGTTTAATTGCTGCTTACTGGGCAGGTATAATGCAGTCCACATGATACAAATTGGGAAGCTTGTACACATTAAGCTAGGTCAATTTAATTTTGTGTGTCTCAAAAAAGCTTTAAAGTCTCTCATTTAAGCACGTGATTTTCTAATTCCATACTGCCTAAGCCACCTGGTGACACCCCCCAGAATATAGGTCTAGTACCCCGTTGGAGTTATCATGATAACGGTCACACACACACATACATATTCGCTAAAAGGAAAATAAATTAAGTGACTAAAGGACCTTGATTTAATAATAAGTTCTTTTTGCCTGGACTTTTTGTACCCCTCTGAAATTTTACCCCACCCAGATTAGTGAGGTTCTTACGATGACGTCTCATTTTCTCGACAATATCGACGTGAAAAGCACATTTTCGTTTACTTTCTCATGAAAAAATCTCCAGAGCCTTACAAAACTGTAAGCTCAGTTATGGTAAAACATAAATCAACAACTATTAGTTTAGTTGCTAAAATTTAAGTGTTATTACGTATAGTGGAACGTTACTAAAGTGAGAGATTTTAGTAATGTCAAACTTAAAACTGTAGAGTTTAGTAAAAATACCTAGAGCACTTACAAAAGAGATAAAAAATGAGGTCTTTCTAGTTTATACTTATATTTAATTTATGAGTGGCAAACACACCAGAAGTTCAATGAAGAAGAGTGTTAAACAGTGTATATAGCTTACAACTAAAGCATCAAAATTAATTTGGGATACCAAGGTTTAGATGGCCAAAATATTATGTTATTACCTATTAACCCTTTGTCTCCCTTTGGTCCGTTGAATCCTGGCACTCCTGGTAATCCCTTGTCTCCCTTCGATCCGGGATATCCTGCTGGACCTGGGGGTCCTACTTCTCCTTGAGCTCCGGGTATTCCGTCCATTCCAGGTGTTCCAAGTGATCCGGGTGATCCAGAAAGTCCCTAAAAGAAAAGTGTGACTTAGGAGTTAGTGATTTGAAACTAATAAACTTTCTAGGCAGAAAAAAGGAGGAATTAATAAAATTACTGTTTTTTTTAATTTATCACCAGAAAATTCGTGTTGAAATATCAGACATATTAACTGAATGCTATAACCATATCATAGATAAACATACTACCTTAGTAGATTTCTCATCCTTATGGATCATCTGAAGACAATTTTATTGTTAGTTCTGTACAGTGCTCTGTAGAGGTTGTGTTTTGTTTACAATTTGTTTCTTCTTTTGTTATTACAGTAATTTAAAAGTTTAGCCAAATAAAACAATATAATCATAAAAAACCCCGTATCCTATTTGTATAACCAAACAGTAAATCAAAAATCAAATCATTAAATTAATCCTAAAATAATAGAAACAAAATTTTGTCGACACTACAGTATCACAGGACATAATTTGATCATTATGATACTGAATTGATTTACTGTACAACACAAGGCACTCTAATATATGTTTAAATAGACAATCGTTTGTGCATCATAACATAAAACATAAAGAGGTAGAGAACTGTATTTCACAAATGAAAGCACAATTGCCACACTACTTCAAAATGTATCACCAACAAAATATTGGACTGTAAACTGAAATTTTACACAAAATTATCTCTCCCTAGCAGTGTCGTAGGCATATTGCTGTGTTCACATTTTGACTTTGCCCATGACCTTTCAAAATCTGAGGTGAGGCTTTGGGAAGTCCAAATTTACCAGACTTTGTGGCAAAAAAAAAAAAATAATAATAATAATAACCACAATGTTTAGCCTACATTTTCTTTGACAACAACATTTAGATTTTTTTTTTCAGAAAAAAAGTAGATTAAAATCAAGCAACAATGGATTGTTATAAAACAGCGGCATTTAAGGTTCTAGTACTCAAGATGTGTGTAGGTTGCATCTTGGAATCAATGGTGGTTAAATCGGTTAAATCTGTCAACTGGTAGCTCTTATATTGCCTGTCACTCCCCATTTTGACCTTAATTAGTTACCCTTTTCTGAACTAACATATAGATAACAATAAACATACTCTGTCTCCCTTATCACCGGGATACCCTGGTAAGCCAGGCTCTCCCTTGAATCCTGGATTTCCGTCTCTTCCGGGCAACCCGGCTAATCCTATCTCTCCCTTTTCTCCTTGCTGTCCTGGCCTGCCAAATCCTGGAAGTCCAGCCTCTCCCTTGCCTCCTGGAATTCCGTCTTTGCCTTGAGGTCCAGTGGGACCCCTCAATCCCGGCATTCCTGGATCTCCTTTCTGTCCCTTCTCTGATGCCTGTCCAGGTGTACCCTTGGGACCCTGCAATAATAATAATTCATCATTATTCAGAATCATTCGTTGCAGATCACAAAATATATTACTGTACCAGTCCGATTAATAGGTAAATCATAGTTGTTGTCAAGTAGGATAGGATTGTATATTTTTCCTATTAGCGATGGTCACAGCTGTCTATTAGCTTTGATGAATCATGCAATAAGTGGCTGGTGCAACTACGGTAACATGATGGAACGTGGTTTGGTAGGTGGTAAAATGAGATTGGAGGAGATTGTTTGGAGTTCAATAGTGGGGAAATCTTAGCCAAATGCGCCCAAATGATTTACAGAGCTCTTTTTAATGTACTTACTCTTGATAAAACTGTTGGTAGACTTAATTTTGAAATTGAATTACACATTTGAAATATATTCAAACCATATTGAGTTAGAATTCTTTAGCTTACTCTGGTAGATTGTTTAAGTAGATGATTATCAACAAAACTTCAAATTTGTTTTATCACCAATTCCTACCCACTTTATACCTTGATGAAATAACTTCAAATTTTTAGCTTGAAAAAGAAGTTGAGAACAATTCTGATTAAGTTTAGTTTATTTTTGGATTGTAAAAAAAAATTGCCTCACCATGAGTCCGGGAGGTCCAGTATTTCCCTTGATACCCAGAGGTCCTATAGGTCCAGGAGGTCCCGGAGGTCCTGGGAATCCCCTGTCTCCCTTCTCCCCCACAGGACCTGGCGGTCCCAGAGGTCCATCCGGACCTGGAGGTCCTGTGAATCCCATCACTCCTGGACTTCCTTTGTCTCCTTTTTCCCCTGGTATTCCATCCATTCCTGGTATTCCAGGTTCACCTTTTGGAGCAAAAGAAATTTTATAAACAACTAGTTAATGATCTGATATAAAATTTAGTTGACTAAACTGTATTACTATTTAAAAAAAGGGTTGTTTGGTATTTTGTTTGTCCATAACAAAGTAAAAGCTATATGGGAAAGTTTGAGTTAGGTATTTCATTTGAAATGAAAAGGAAATTACAATTTTAGAATTTTTATATCAGCAACATTGGTAATTATCACTACTAATCGCAGCAACATCCGTCATCATCTTTTATGATCGCGCCAAACAACTTTGATGATTTATGATTTTTTTTAGCATAGCGGGGACATTGTACTCATGTTCTTTGATCGGAATTCTTTACTTAACACGGTGACACAAAAAGAGGACAAACTGCGCTTACTGGCAGATTTTATTAATGATTTTTCAAAATCTAAAATTGTGTGGTTCTAAAGACAATTTTTTGGCATTCTTCCCAAAGCGCAGAGCCGACATATTCCTTTAGACACAGCTGTTAATTAATAGCCTATACAGCTAATGGTGACTAAGGGACCTACATTTTGTAGTGGAATCCGAACCACATTGCCTTGGTATTAACGAATTTGTCTATTATCAGGATAGTACTGCGTTACTCACTAGTGCATGAATGATTGAATACTGCTACTAACCTGATAGTCCTCTAGGTCCTTGGAATCCCTTTTGCCCGTCTGCTCCTGGGATGCCTCTTTCTCCTTTTGGTCCTGGGTAACCAAGAAGTCCAGGTCGTCCTGCCTCTCCAACCAATCCCGGAATACCTAAGGAAATATAAATTGAAATATTACAGAAAGTTATAGAGTGTTGTCTTATCTATGTATCGATGGGTAATTTACAAAAGAATTGTTACCTGGTAGGCTACTGTATTATTTCTGAGGAATTCCCCTAAAAAAACCTGAAAACTTATAAATTAATATTCATTATTTGCTTTTCGATGGTTCTTTATCACAATAAGATGTGAATGTGGGAAAAAATTACATATTACATGATTAGAATCATACGGATGAAAAAGAACCTTGGAATATCGAGTTGAAAATATGGAGAAAAAAGGCTTAAGGTTCTCAAAATATATATTAGTTGATTACAGTTACATGTAGTAATGTTGATGCCGATAGCAGTGTTAGTAATGATACTGATTTATATGCAAATCTAAAATCTAAATAAAGTAGCATATCTAAAGACATAAGTATTGTACTGACTAAAGAACCGCTATACCTTGATCTCCTTTACTTCCTGGCATTCCATCAAATCCTGGAGGACCCGTAGGTCCTACAGGACCAGAATCACCCTTTAGTCCAACTGCTCCTGGAAGTCCGTTTAGTCCAGGTTCTCCCATATCTCCTTTTTCACCTGGGAATCCTGGTCTTCCTGTGGGGATAAACATGGTTAAGTTAATTTTATAATTTGATTTGGTTTAGTCTCTAAGAATTAATAAATAGTTCCATATTAATAAAAAGTAAAAGTAACAGCTTTCATTACAATAAATCCTATTTTATCAGTGTGATGAAGTTCTAAAACAAAAACACTATTATAGTTTTACCTGGTTCTCCTGGACTACCATATTTCCCAGCTGGTCCGGGAAGTCCCTTTTCTCCCGTATATCCCGGTGCTCCTGGAGGTCCTCTGGGACCAACTCCTGGTATTCCTGACTCTCCTTTGTCGCCTAAAGTAGACAGGATTTAAATTAATTATGTTTTGTTAACTAACCCCGCTAAATATCAATACATGATTTGGACGGAGTTTGCTAAAACAGGAAAATAAGTTTAACATAACACTCAAAGGTGTACAGCTTAATATATGCCTATTTTGAAGTTACAAAACGTCAATAATTTTTTGTTCAATAAGTCTTTTAGGATAGTGTAGATTCTTGTAATTAAGATATTCTTTGTTTTGACACTGGCTGTAGTCTAACACCCAGTGGTGGATATATTTATCCAGATACAATGTAATGCTGTGCCACTGTGCTACAAACACTTTTCACAACATGAGTGCATTCATACAATATAAAATGTTACGTATCCTTAGAAATTTCTTTGTTTAAATAACTGTTTTCAGTTTTACCTAATTTTCTCTATCCTCTATAAACCGCTGTCTTAGTCTCATAATTGAAAAGTTACAATGTAACTTTGTTTGACATTATAAGGATTAGACAATGTTACCATGTTAGAACAAGATAATGAGTACCGTAGAGTGAAAATTTCCTCTACTGGCATGTATTGTATTTTTATCGAAACATTGACAAATAAAAAAAACGTTTTGATTAACATTTATTTTGAAAACAAACACAGTACCTATGTAGTTGAGATTAAGTAAGAAAATCAAAATTGACTGTTATTTGTTTTAAAATAACGCCTGTAATACTTAGCAATTGCTCAAATTCAAGCAACAGGGACACTAGTTGTGTTTAAATATGAAATTGTGTTCAATGGTGAGTGTGTTAACATATTGCTGTTTTCTACTGTAGTTGTAAAGTAGGTATCAGATTATTTTCTTCTGTGCCCTCAGTCTGTTGAGAAGCAGAGGTAAAACTCACTCACTCCCATGGCCATTTATGCCTAAGGTGGGAGTTGGCCGCACCAACAATTGCTCTCCATCATACTCTCTATCTTCTGCCTCTTCCACTGCTGCCCCCACTTCTCTAACGTTCTTGGAGACACTATCCCACCATTAGTTTTACCACCATAGGGGTGAAACTAGAGCTATTTATAAAGTTCCAAATGTGATTGAATTCCAATAAATAACTAGGCTGATTTAGTTTACAGATCTATAAAGTAATAGCCACTGTATTGTTGTCGGCAATACACTCACCCTTCCTGCCAAAGTCTCCAGGTGGTCCTCTTGGTCCGGGTTGTCCTGGTTCCCCTACAAAGCCCATTGGTCCCATTTCACCCTTAAGACCTCTAGGACCAGCCAAACCTCTGGCTCCTACATTTCCTGGAGGTCCTGGCGGTCCTGGTAACCCGTTCAAACCCTAGATAAAAAGTTTCATGTATTTAAATCAATGGTGCAAATTGATACTTTTAACATAGACAAAGAGAATAAATATAGACCGACAGCAGTGCTGCTGTTAGCATTATGTTCCAGCATCCACCGCTAGGAGTGCCATGTAGTTACGGCGCACAACGCTGCAGCGTCTGCTGGTAGCATACGGTTCCTCGCCTGCAGCAGTGGGCGCCGTAACTACACGGCACTCCTAGCACGGCACATTGCGGAACCTTCCTTTGACAGTCTATATTTATTCTATTTGTCCATGCTTTTACTTAACAATATTTACTGACAAGAAAATTGTGATTTTGATAAATAAGGCAAGATGTGAATATTTTTAGCAATACTTAAATAGAAAATTTTATGACCATGATACAAAAAGAACAGTGTTAGTTTGATACACTAGGTCTTTACCGCAGGTCCTGTGTTGCCCTTGTCTCCAGTAAGGCCATCATATCCTGGGGGTCCAGGTTCACCTTTGGGTCCCGGGGGTCCTCGTTCTCCCTTCAATCCTTTAGATAAATCCAACGGGGCGCAATGTCCTGAAAAATACTTTTGCATTACTGGTACTGTACTTACAGTATTTTTTAGTTCAATTTCCCTTTTTGGAATAATTTTACCATCTTGCTTGATTTGGTCGAAAGTTTGAATAGTTACCTTTGACTTTTGGATACAGAACAGAAGTAGGCAGCATCCCATTTATACAAAGTAGATATAGTCAATTGTTGTATAAATAGAACATAGTTGAAAGCCAGCACTCACGAGATTTGCTACTGCCTGATTCCTTTCTCTCTCTTGATTTACCGGATATCTTATGTGACAAAACAGATGCTGTAGTTTACAAGTTTGTTAAATAGTCTCGGTTAAGGATATTCAGTAATTGACATCAGCACACTCTGTCGGAGGCTCAAATCACTCTATGGTTGGCTGCGTCTTTCATGAGATCGTCATGTCCACATCTATCAATGGTCAAAGGGTTTGTTATGTTGGTCTTTGAAGCGACTATACTTTAATAATTAAAATCTGGGCATTTTAAAACTGTGTTTGAAAACTAAAGCAGGGACCAAATTTAAATTTATTGAGTTTACAACTAAGTAAACAATACTAGAAAACATACCTGGAATTCCCTTGTCTCCAACTAATCCGGGTTCTCCCTTGGTACCAGGTCTTCCCGGGGTTCCAGGGTTTCCTCTTTCTCCTTTTACACTTACTCCCTTCTCTCCAGGTAGTCCTGGAGTTCCATCTCTTCCTGGGACTCCAGCAATTCCCGCGTATCCCTTATCTCCCTGGAATATGATTCATAATGAAAATTGATTATAATTAATTGTAGTTCTAGTAGAAGTCACTCATTTTACAATTCAATACAGTACTATTTTAGGTTAATTTAAGTTTGCATAATTTTTATATCAAATACCTTGTCTCCTCTCTCTCCTGAGAAGCCCGGAAGACCAGGATTTCCTGGGGGTCCTTGAACTCCTTTATCACCCTTAATTCCTGGAAGTCCTGCGTCTCCTCTAGGTCCTTGATCTCCCTTCATTGTGATCCTAAAAGAATCTGGAACAAAAGCGTCTCGTCCCCTCTCTCCTTGGGGACCTGGTTGTCCAGGGATTCCATCATCACCCTGTAAATACCAGTAAGTTGTATTGAAAGAAAAAATATAATAATATTCTCATGCTTTACTTAGTAATTATGGGAAGTAATAAAGTAATAATGGGTGTAATGATAATAACTGGTTTAACAGATATAAACTTCATACACATAATAATTATTGTGACAAGGGTTTGTAAGCTTCAAATAAACAGGGTGAAAAAAAGTCCCGGGCTAGTTTAATATTCACAAAAATAATAAAGATAGAGCTACACAACTTGACACAAATTTACTGGGTATTAAAACAATTTTAACACATTAATCACAATATTTACATTCATATTATTCAGTGATACGCTACCACCTCAAGGGGACAGCCCGCTAGGAGTCAGAATAAAATCTTAAATATAAGCATAGGTTGACATGCACGTCAAATTAAAGGTCTTTTAGAAAAATACAATGCCGCAAAGCCAAACTCAAACGGACAACCAAGGCAAAAATGACAGCCGTTCATAGATTCCTTGAATTTGCAATCATTTGACTCGGTTGTCTGTTTGAGTTCAAATTTGCGGCATTGTATTCTAAAAGTAAAAACTTATATTGCCCTATGCTTACATTTAAGATTTACTTCTGACTCCTAGATGCCGTCCCCCTGAGGGAGTAGGTAGAATATAACTGATTAATGTGTTTAAATTATTGTAATGCCCAATAACATTTCACCAATTTATGTAGATCTAGATAGATGATGTAGATACATTATTTGTTGAAATATGCAACTGTCTCTGGACTCTCCACATGCGTGGAACGTATCAAACAAAACAAGGAGTAAGCCGGTACAGACAATAAACTGTACTGATAAATTACAACATCAGATGTGTAACCGGGCGCTTAAGATTGAGCCACTAACCAACTCACAATCTATCAGAACTTAATATAAATGCTATCAAAGCAAATGAATTCCTCTCAATTTTAAAGTTCTAAAAACCAGAACAGTACTGTAGATGGTTTTAGATATTATCATTGACTTACAGGTTCTCCTGGGGAACCAGGTGGTCCAGGAAGTCCGCTATCTCCTTGCAGTCCGGGATATCCTCTCTCTCCTGGAGGACCTTGGAGTCCCTCTCTTCCAGCAGTCCCGTCTCTTCCTGGTAGCCCCTTCTCCCCCTTCCTTCCCTGGGCACAGTCAATGCACCTTCCTCCAATATCTCCCTTCTCCCCATCACTACCTGTGGTCATGTCGGGTTAAGATGGTGGATTTTATTGAGTAAAATAAAATAAAATTATTGAGCTCTACAGTAATAAACAAACCCTTATTATTTAAACCTACAAAAAAGTGAGAATCTTTGATCATTTAAATATATAAATTTTAATAAATACACTAAATTTTATAAACTTATTTTGAGAAGAACACTGGAAGACAGCTCAAAGAATACTGTAACATGTAGAGGAGAACAATTAAACTAGACACAGAAACTAAGTACATGATGAAAAGTTATTTCCCCTCCCTTCGCCTTGGTCTTTTTCTTTTGTAAGGTTATTAAAGTGAAGCGTCCAATGTTTTTCATTTCAGTTTTTAATTTTTTTGAAGCCATTGGGCGTACAACAATGCTTCAATGTACTCAATTATGATTTTTTTTTAACTATACAAAATAATTTAGAAAGTGATTAAAAATTGTATGTTTTGGGGTCAAAAATGGGAAAACCCACTTTTGCCCCATAAAACCCTGTTGCCATAGTCTGATAATGCTGGCTCACAAACTTATTTAAATAATTATTGTAGGTTTACACGTTTGTACCAAATGTAATAAAAACCGGATAATTTTTTTTTCGAGTCATGGTGCTAACATAGGCCCTAATATGGATAGGAATTTGAACGGATTGTGTTTTTGGCCTCAGGGGACCTGAAAACCAAAAAGTTAATTGATCCTGGATCTAAGACTTACCAAGAGAGCTACAATAATAGCCTATTCTCTATATGGGAAATTCGCTAAAATAACAACATGATAATCATTGCACACAGGGATTTACCTGGAATTCCTGGCTGTCCGGGTGTTCCATCAAATCCTCTCTCTCCCTTTTCTCCCCTAGGACCTTGAGCTCCGGGAATGCCGTTTAGGGAGTCTCCCGGAGCACCTCGGGCTCCCGGATATCCTGGCTCTCCTTTCTGCCCCTTATCTCCATCCCTGCCAGGAAGACCATCTGCTCCTTTTGGCCCCTATGAATAAGATAGATCTTATTACTCTCTCAACTAAATTTTCACATTAAGAAGTTGAACTTATTATGTATTACAAATTAAATTTTTAAAATGAATAAAATAATTTACAATTTTTTTTTAATGATTCTTGTCAAAGTTATTCTTTATAGAACTTAAAAAATTACCTTAAGTGGGCTGAAATAAGAATATATATTACATACAAAATTTAGGATTTGTGTTTGAATTTTATTATGATGAGGTATACACCTACCACTATTGAAAGCCCCTTTTCTCCAGGGAATCCCCTCTCCCCTTCAGGACCTGGAGGTCCTTGAAATCCAATATTGCCTGGGGTACCAGGGAATCCTGCAAAAACCAACCCATTCTATTTAACTTTTTACAATAAAGAAAGCTCAAGAATATTGTCTTGACATAAATCCAGTACATGACATAAATGTGGCAAGTAAACAGTTATTTGCAATAGGTACTTCTTTTTGCTTTGCGGTGCTGTTAGGTAGGTACAGAGGCCTCTCCCCCTCTCTCTGCAATAGTAATTGAGATCTCTAATTTAAATTACTTAGATTATAGTTTTAAACGATTAGGTCATATTTTCAGTTATAAGGACGTTTATGTTAATTATGTTGCTAAGCTCAAATTATAAATTATCTATGTAGGCTATTAATTGACTGAAATGGTGTAAGAGTGATGCTTTGGGCCAAACTAGGCCAGGAAAAATAAAGAAATTGTCAAACTGAGAACAGAATATATTAACCTGGTAGACCAGCTTCTCCTTTCTGTCCTTTTGGTCCAGGGAAGCCTTCAGGTCCGGGTGTTCCGGGTATTCCTGGACCTCCGGGTTGTCCTGGAGGACCTCTCTCACCCGGAGGACCATTGTATCCATCAAGTCCCTTAGGTCCTGGGAGTCCAGGGTACCCTCTAGGTCCAGTATCACCCCTGGGTCCAGGTTGTCCTTTACCACCCTAGAATTTGAGTGGTTTAGAATTCATACTGTTCACCTATGTAAAAAAGTTATTGCAGCTTTTGAAAGGTAGGCCTATACGGTACTATTTACATTACATTTTCTATTGTTTTACGGTTTTGACAAAAAACCGGGTAGGCAAAACTCAATGCCAACACAGTGCTAGTAGAATAAAATAGTGAAATTTTGAGCAAATGTTAGTGAAAAAACAGCCAAATGTTCAAGAAGGAATAATAAGAAAGTGTATGGAGATTTATAGCAAACTGGGGGTATCCAATTTAATATCTGACTATATTTTACTTTTAAGAATAACCGTTTCAACACCTAATGTAATATAAATTCATTGTAGGTGTTAGCTTCCGGATTGCCAAATAATATTAGAAAGGGTTTAAATACCTGCTATTAAGCAATCCAATGTTGTTGTTAGCACAACTAGTTTCGTTATCTGTGTGACACCATCATCAGGGTATACAAGGACAGTTTTCTTTCTTCATACGAAGAGCGTCATATTATTTACATGAAAATAATAACTCCGCTGGGTTAGCGTCGTCTGTTTTCTTAACTGATCAGTTACCGTACCATAAATGTCTCGTATTCGTGTTTGTGTCGTGTTTAAATGTTTATTTATTATTTTCGTGTAAATTATATGACGCTCTTCGTATGAAGAAAGAAAACTGTCCTTGTACAGCTGATGATGGTGTCACACAGACACCGAAACTAGTTGTGCTAACAACAACACTGGATTGCTTGATAGCAGGCATTTAAACTTTTTCCAATAATATAAATGTGTGCTTATTAAATGGTGATAAATATTTTAAATAGTTGGGTTATCACAAAAATTGTCAATTTTACTCAATTCTATTAGTAAAAAAAAAATAAAAAAAAAATAAAAATGGGGCCTTATGTAATAATTAATGCATACTGTAATGGTAATTGTAGTAACGACAACCAATATATTTTTAGTACTGTAGGACAAACATTTATGCTAAATTTATTTAATGATCCTTTTATAAATCCTTGAGTAATGCATCTTTAAAGGAATTGGTCATAAGGCAAGGATTCGATTTTCTAGAAGAAAACCCATATTGACTAACCCCAGGAGGTCCTTGAGGACCCCTCAGTCCAGGAGGTCCTGGAGCCCCGTCTCTTCCGGGTTCTCCCTTCAACCCGTCTTTCCCAGGAAGCCCTGAAAGGCCTTCTTGTCCCAAATCTCCTTTCTGCCCAACAGGACCTGGTCCTCCTTGATATCCATCTCTGCCCTGGAAATCAGCAAATATGATTGACAACAAAATAAAATAAACTGTTCAAATATCAAATTGGGATAAAGCATTAGAGTAATTTTTGGTGCAGAACAGCAACAGTTCCTGTTACAGAAAATAAATTTTGAATTTTCACTCAAGGATGAATTTAAAAAATGCATATTTTATGAGAGTTTATCTATGAACTTTAATTCTTTTTGTCTGAAAACTTGAACTGGAGTTCTAACACAAATTGATAACATTGATGAACAAGTTTTGAAATAAATAAAAATTGTAATAAAAAGTTTCCTTTAAAATGGAAAATTTAATGTGAAATTCAATTAAAAACAATTAAGAGATTTAACGGCAAGAGGGTGAAAATTTTAAAGACAATAGGCAGCTATACAAACTTACTGTTTTAAGCTGCAGTTCTATGAAGAGGCATGCAGCTTCAGGTAGATTGAACTGTAGCAAGAGTTTCCAATATTTTTGTTTGCAGCAAAAGGTTCAGTGTATATTTTTATTGCAAACTTGTTATTGCAAACTTTTTATTGCAAAATTTTTTGTTGCGATTTTGTAAAACTTGTTGATCTGGGTTGTATATCCAAACAAAACTTACTCTAGGTCCAGGTGGTCCAGGAAGTCCTTTCTCTCCCTTCATTCCCAACACTCCTGGAAGTCCAGGATCTCCCATTGGTCCGGGCTCTCCTTTAGGACCAGCAGGTCCTGTGTCACCCTAGAATAAAATAAAACAATGTAACACCACAAACTAACAAAAACATACACCACCCCGAATAAGCAAAATCTTTGGATATTTTTCCTTAAAAAGAAAGTTAATTTTTTTAAATTTTTTTTAAATTTTTAAATTTTTTTAAAATTGGCTTTTTATGTTTTGTTTTTTTATTTTAGTGAGGGAACGATCCCAATCATGATATTGTTACTATCTAACATAAACCTTTTGTTAGATACATCATAAATTGATGACATACATTGTATCTAGGTCCAGAATCTACTTTTGGAATCAAACTAACAACCGTCAGATAATACTCAATGTATAAATGTTAATTAAAGCAACTTACCTTATCTCCCATGATCCCAGGGTCTCCGATGGGTCCCACAGTTTTGTCGTCAGTTTGTCGGAAGTCCGCAGGTGCCGGCCGGCCTGGTGGTCCCACCAAACCTTTCTCCCCCTTGGAGCCCTTCTCACACTCAAACGCAACTCCCATACTTCCCTTCTGCCCCTTTTGTCCTGGAAAACCTGGTTGACCCTTTAACATCACATAGGTCAGAACATTTGTGTAAAGTCTCAAGGTTGGTTTCAGTTAGTTTACTATTTATTCATTTTATTAGCATTACTTCATATTGAATAGTTAACAGGTTAGTTGACAGGTGAAGATATGCTCTCATCCAGAATAATGAGCTCAGAAAAACCAGACCAGTTTCAAGTGCTGAGATTGCCGGAAACCTGATTGAAATTAGTTTCAAATATTGTTTTGAGAGAGAAATTGCAGATATTTGAAAGTGGACAACTCTTTTGAGTGCCTTTTGGAGAGGGACAGGAGAATACCAATTGAGAGAGAAAATCATAGATATTTGAAAGTGGACTTTGGAGTGCTTTGGATTTGGAGAAAGACATGAGAATACCTAATTGGCCTAATGGGAATACCTAATATATTAATTGGCCTATAATCTTGAGGAAGTTTAGGGAATGAGATCTTATTCAAAGGACGGACTAAAGCAGACTTGTCAGCAGCAAATTGTCATGGAATCAGATGAATATTAAAGCCTTTTTCCTAAAAGCTTTCAAAACATCAGCTTGAAAAATTGGTTAAAAAATAAAATAGGGTAAAAATGCATTGTAAATTTAATTCATTAAAACTGTTCTGAATAACTGTGCTATTTGAATTAGTGGAGGTTGATAAAAAGTAATCGTTCAAAGCATTTAACAAGACAGATGCCATATACAATTTTGGACTTTTCTTGTTTTCCATGACGAATGTATTTTTAAACTAGACCTAGTACAGAAGAAGCCTGTTTGCTGTCTGATAACAGTATATGGAAGTAATGAAGGTGCATAATTGTAGCTTAGCTTGGTTTCTGAGCTGACAATTGGGCCATTAGCCCAACGTCTCTAGTTCTTCTGGCTCTGTGAAAGATTTAGAGTCCCACTGAGCCATTAACCTGAGGATCCCATTTGTAATCCAAGGTACGGGATGCTTCTTTTTAACCCTTTGGGTCATGGTTGGGACGTGTATATCATCTAATTGCAAAGTCATTACATATCCTTTCCTTTTAACGCTCTATTATGCAACACACCTTCTGTCCGGTGTCTCCTTTGTATCCTGCAGGACCTACGAGTCCGGGTTCTCCTGTAATTCCTCTTGGACCTTCAACTCCTTGGAACCCTGGCTCTCCCTTCTGCCCCTTGGGATAAACTCCTCCGTAGGCTGGCAGTCCCCTGTCTCCTTTGGCACCGTCAATCCCTGGGTATCCCCGTGGTCCTGGAGCACCAGGCTGGCCTGGTTGTCCTGGAAGTCCCTGGAAAAGTAGATAAGGAGATAGTAGATAAGAATTAGGCCCATTCAGAGAGGCATAAACTAACAAATGTTCCATAATATAATACCCTTCTTATGATGAACTAAAATGTAACTACTCACTCACATGAAGCATTACAACTTGCAGCATCCACAAGCATGAGATAATTCTTAGCCACTAATGGCATACAAGATTCCATTCCAATGAATCCACAATCATAGGATTTACATATTTGATTTTTTAAACCCTGTAGCTAAAACCTGTAGGCCTATTTAAAAATAAAACATTGGAAGATGTAACTAGTAGTCACACCAATCTTCAATTTGAAAGTTAGTACTGACAGCTACCCCGAAAACATATTAAAATTTAAATTTTATCTGAGAATTTGAACCCATGACAGAAATCATTACAGTAAAAAGTTAATAATTCTGTTACTTTAATTGTTGGATTAAAAATTAGTTATTTAATGTCTATGTTCTATGTCTGGTTTTCTACTGTACGGTATCACTTAATAATCAAAATTAGTTACTTTATACTTACATCAGTTCCATTACAGCCATCCAAACCCGGAATTCCAGGAAATCCAGGTGGACCCAACTGTCCCGGAATGCCGTTAATTCCAGGAAATCCAGGAGCTCCTATTTTTCCCTAAAAAAATTTATTGTTACAATAAATTCAAATTAATTTTACGATAGCCTACACGTTAAACGGAGATAGTTCTCTTAGTTAAGGAGAGCCTCCACTAAATGTTATATATTATTTAAAAAAGAAATTATGATGCAGAAAATAAAATGAAGTAATCATGCATGATTATGATTCATTAGAATAATGGAGCAAAACTAACAGTTACCGGTACACATTTTTTCAACTACATCATGTAAAAGTCAATGTCAAATAGTTTATTTCCAGAATTTAAAAAAAAAGAAATATATTTTTCCGCATAGGCATAAGCTTGTATGCGGAAAAAGAGTTCTAAATCTGCTATAAACAATATCTGTTACATTGTGGATAAACAATACCTATATCCTTATACTTAATAATTATATACTTAAAAGATATTAAGTAGTAAATCAAAATAGTCTACTTGGATGAAATTCAACTGTTTTTTTCTTCTTTTTTCTAAGAGTCAATCTTCAAATTCAACATACCCGGTCTCCCTTAGGTCCCCGAGGTCCTGGAAATCCTGTGTCCCCTTTTGCTCCTGCAGGACCTGGAAGACCTTCCATTCCTGGAAATCCCTGTTGTCCCTGGGGTCCCGGAAGCCCTGGTGATCCAGGAGATCCCTGAAACAATATCATTGAGATTTAGTATAATTAAATTATGAAACAATATAAATAGGTACCACTTAAACTTATTGCCTACTTTTTGCAGTTATCTCGTATATCTTGTAATATCTGGCTAGCCTACGATTTATAGTTTATAACAATCATTTATCAAAGAAACTAACTTATTTATTGAATACTTACAGAATTTCTTTCACTTCATAAGGCTGCTTGAAACAAATATTTAAGTGTACAAATTGAAGTTTAAAAAAAAACATACATTTTGGATGCTGGTAGTGTATATACTATAAATACTTAGCTTAATGAATAGAGGTTTATATAATGTAATATAGATGTTTCTATCATACAATATTATTATAAATCGTATAGCTCACCTAATTATTAGATGAAACATTAGGACAATAGCAGAGGGTTTAGTAAAAAACAATTTGCTGCTTGGAAAAAAATCAATAATGTACCTAACATGTTGGAAATATGATTGAAACATAAAAGGTGTTCATTTTATTAAATAAATGTGTGGTATATCTATAAAGCACAAACAATTATAATTGCAAATAAAAATATCATTGAACCAGATCTTGTAATATAGAAGTAATATTATAAAATATCTTTTTCGATCAGCAGGCTACCTGGTAACACTTTCATTACCTACTAAACATGTCCAACACACATTAAAAAAGCTTATCTAATGTTAAAACCGAAAATTATGAAAAAAGTCCATATATTTAATTTCTTAATTTCCTTAATGTTTCAGTAAGGTAATGGCGTTTCTAAACCATTATTTACAAACTTTTTGTAACAACCGTTTAACTGTTCCTCAATTAATGACTCACCCTGTTTCCCTTCTCAGCGAAACATTTTGGTATACAGTTTGCTTTATCTCCTCGCTGGTCGAACTTGGCAAAGTTTCCGGGGTCGTAACTCGTGTAGCTTGGGCCAGGAGGGGCTTGTACAGACCCGTAAGTCTCCGCTTCCTCAAAAGGATCCTGTTTCTTCTCATAAGGCTGCCTGTTGTTGTCGTAAGGTTGCCTGTTGTCGTAAGGTTGCCTGTTGTCGTAAGGTTGCCTGTTGTCGTAAGGTTGCCTGTTGTTCTCGTAAGGTTGCCTGTTGTAAAGGCCGACACCCTTTGGTGGAGGAAAGCCCCGTTGATCCTGGCCATATAACCTGTCGTATTGCTGCAACAGAAAATCAAAATAAATGTTATGTTCACTAACCACTTAACCTTTTGGAATTTCAGATAGGACAAGGAAAGAGTATTGTAGTAAAAAGTAAGATGACCTGTAAAATCGTATAAATACATGTATAAATAACCTTTAACTTTTGTATACACTGTATTGAAATCCCATTTATATGGACAGCTGTAAACAAAATCCTATATATTAACAGGCAAGCATGTTTCTTGAAACCCTTTTTTCGCAGGGAAAATCAACTCCCCCTCTTTACTGTTTGCTTTTTCATTGTTTGCTTTGTTTTTTTTTGTTTTTTTTTTGTGTTTCTTTACTACTGGAAAGATATTTACCTGTAGGTGCGCAGAATCTCTTTATAAAATAGGCTCAAAATAAGCACAATAAATGAGTTTAATATTTGTTTTTAATTAACATGGGGCTCATGGGTTAATATGCTGGTGACCGAAATATAAACAGAAAATCAAAACAAATGGAAGACATTCCAACCACATGTTTTATTTACAGCGTGGGGGGAATATTCATTAATCAGTACAGTACAATTAATTAAGATTTGCTTCCTATAATCAATGAGGGGTGTATTTCAAAAGTGTTTACAGAAGACAGAACCACGTTATTATTCACTGCATTCTCACCCCGTTGCAAATCACAGGCAAAATAAAATAACTTACAAGACTACAAGATCGCGCCACTCATCCTACACTCATCTCCATTCATACTTGGCTTAAAATACCTACTTTGTATGGCCACCATTTCATCGAAAAGTATTAAAGTATAAAGTATTAAAACAAACAAACTAATCATTAGTTATATTAAAACGGGACAGGGGTTTTTTTATTTCATGATTCTGAATCACTTTTTAAACTTTTTACTTCAACTTCACTTTTTACTTTTAAAAAAAACATTTGTGAAGAATCTTTATTGCATTAATAAATTCAAGATTACAATATGAGCTAATTTGTTGGGGTGGAACATTTAAAACTTTTATAAATAGATTAAGAACCACTCAGAATCATTTTTTGCGCATAATTTTAGGAAAACGGCAAAGAGAAAGTTCTTTTCCTCTTTATCAACAGATGAAAATAATGCCAATTCAAAATCTTTATAATTTTAAGGTTTTAAAATCTTTTTTCGTGCAAAGTGGGAATAATGGAACTGAAGACCTTTACTACAACACGAGAAGAATAGATAAAATGATTGTTAGAACACCAAAGGTCAACAAAGAGATTTTTAAACATTCGTTTTTATTTCTAGGTCCTTTCATCTACAATCAATTACCAATTGAAATAAAAACATGCAATTCTATTAACCTATTTTCAAATAAAGTAAAAGATTGGTTATTTTATTGAGGATACTTGGCGTCTCAGGAGTATTTTGCAATAGGCTATTTGAATTTTCTCATTGTGTATTGTATAGAAGTATGTTATTTTAAGTAATATTATTAGCGATATTCTATTTTTGTTAAAAAGATACTTTTATTTTTGTTACATAACAAGTTAAAGTTAAGTTTTAATTTTTAAGAAAATGAAATCGTCACAGGCAGCGGCGACCTTGTAATCAGTTAAGTGGAAGACTGGACTCACTGATAAGATACTGATAAGTTTCTTTGTACACTGGCCACATGTACTGGATAAAGTGGCCAGTTAATTTCCAAGCCAATTTTGTATCCATTGTGTGTTTTTATTGGAGGAAATAAATTCATTATTTCATTATTTCATCAACCACTTGACAGATTTTCATGGTTTGTTAAAGATAGTTTTGAGAACTAGAGAATGTAGAAGCCATAATTTTAGTTTAGAGTTTAAGTTTTTTAGCAATTTAGTTTTAATTTTTAAAAAGTCTAGCAGCCAACGCTAACATTCTAGACAAGCTTTTGGTATATTACCATTGTCCAACTATCAGCTGTAAACATTCAGCGTTTGTGACACAAATTCAGCATTTGGATAAAAATGAAATTACATACAAGGTTGGTTTAATTATACTATGTGTAATGCTATAGTAATTAATACATTCATTTATTTGGTAAGGGGGTGGCAGATTATTTAAATATACATTGTAAAATACTTGATAATCTAATTTACTTTAAAGAGCATTCTTTAAAATTTTGGGTTTTTTAGTACAATATAATTTGATTTAACTAACAGCTAGATGGATATAAAAATATTCTATACAAGGTGTCCCGGAATTCTCTACCAATATTTTAGGGCATTGCTCCTGGGTAAGAAACATACCTAAATATCATATTTAAATTGTCCTGAAGTCCTTAGTTACTCACACAGCCGCCATTTTGTTTTTTTTTAGTTATTAATTTTTTTCTAAAGAACGGTTAAACATACGAAATGGAAACTTTGCACAAACATTTTTGATAAGTAGACAAAGCTACAAAAAAATTATGACGAATTTTCAAATTCATAAAACAAAACGGCGGCCATATAAAATTTTTGTAAAATCGACGGTTTTTAAGTTATTTAAGAAACAAAATTTTAAATGGCCGCCATTTTGTTTTATGAATTTGAAAAATTGTCATAATTTTTTATAGTTTTGTCTAGTTGTCATAAATGTTTGTGCAAAGTTTCCATTTCGTATGTTTAACTAATCTTTAGAAAACAATTAATAACTAAAAAAAAAACAAAATGGCGGCTGTGTGAGTAACTAAGGACTTCCTGACAATTTAAATATGATATTTAGGTATGTTTCTTACCCAGGAGCAATGCCCTAAAATGATGGTAGAGAGTTCCGGGACACCCTGTATATAGATGAGAGTATTTCATTCAGTCATTATTATAGAAAATTAAGTAAGATTTGTAGAGATAAGTAGACAATACAAATAAGTAATATCATTGCCGTATAAAAATCAGTCTCTGCCCACGAGTCTTCAAAGAAAAGCATATGCAAATTATTTTAAGGGTTTTATTCAGAGATAACAATAATATTCAACAATCATTCAAGGAAAGACAGCCGATGTTGGTAAAGAATAATTTACCGGTACCGTAAACATATTAATAAACCGAATAGCAATAGATAATCAATATAAAATATATATTATAATTTTTCTAGAGTGCTTTTTTTGTCGGTAGACCCTAACTAATTCTTCACCAATTTTCATGCATTTAATGAGGTGTAATTTTTAAGATTCTTTCCCACTACGCTAAAAAATTTACAAATCAATTATTTTTTGTAGTTTTTCGTAAAAACAATCTCTTAAATCATTCTGCAAGTAATTTAAACTTGAAATGTTTATTTAAGTTATTCGATCAGCTGGAACATGTGAATTAAATTAATCAAAACAAACGAATATTTATTTCTCAAATGCAAGTGTTTTGTTTTTACCTCATCCATGACGACCAACATACTTAGTCTGTGCTCTATATGATAAATGAGTACCCCCGGAGATAAAATCAAGTTATTCACTTTAAAGAAGTCAAAATAAGAAGAACTTACAAATAAGCCTTCATTTTGATATACCTACCAACCATTTTATGTATGTTTAAGAATTCCATCTTCAAACATCACCTCTTATCTCTTACTTCTTTACTTCAGGTTTCAAATGAATAGTTATCATGTGTCAAATTTCTTACTGACAGGAAACGGTTCTCATCAGTTTTGAATCGGTTCTTTACAAAGGGACGTAGAACGTTCTGTTGAATCCATTCGTTTTTTTGTTTTTTTTTTTTAACTGGGGCCACCTCTGACTTTCTCAAGGGTGTGTTTTTCAGTGAAAACTATGTCTGTGTAAAAACAAAGCCATCAAAACAAAAATCGTATATGGCCATATTATTACTTCAAATATAGTGTTCAAATAGGTCCTGTAAACATGTAAAAACGTAAATAACTTAACATTAGGCTATATTTTGAAAAGGTTAATTATCTAAAATGCGAACCCACATCAATTCCTGAAGTAGGGTACACTATTCATTATTTATACACTATACATTATTCACCCATACATTAATCAACGATGCACTTAGCAGAATTTGTGTAGGCAACCTCAATAAGTGGACAACTTTTTCTAGTGGGGCCTTGGATTAGAGAAGGGCTCAGCACGAATGCTACACACTAGAACGGCTAGTTTGTATATTATTCCCAGTTTCAAGAACTAAATAATCATCTGATGTACTTTGTATCATCAACAACAAGCGTTAAGTATTTAGGATTCCACATGGATAAAAGATTAACCTGGAAAACACATATTTGGTGTAAAAGACAACAAATGGACTTGAAGGTTCGTAAACTCAACTGGCTTCTAGGCAAAAAATCAAAGCTTTCGTTGACCAATAAACTCACACTTTACAAAGTTATGATCAAACCTATTTGGACGTACGGGATACAGTTTGGGGAACGGCAAGTAAATCCAACTTAGCATTTATTCAAAGATTCCAGTCAAAGGCGCTGCGAAGAATATTGATGCTCCGTGGTTTGTCTCGAATCAAACAATCCATGAAGATTTAAAAATACCTACAGTGATTGAAGAAATAACAAGAATTAGCAAGAACTATCAAGAAAAACTCGAAACCCACCCGAACAATATAGCCGTTAATTTGCTGGACAATAGTGATTTTCCCAACAGACTGAAAATTGTGAAAGTTCTTGAACTCCCATACCGATTTGCATAGTTTTAGTTATGACATGACTATTTAATTTTACAAGATCTTTCACAGGGGAGATTCTTGGTCAAGACACTTATTTATATTATCCCTTTTACTAATTGTTCAAAGTACTGAACAGATTGTAAAATAAAATGAAGTTAAAAAAAATTACAACTAGAATAAAACAACAACTCTATTTTCGCTCTGGTATCATAACAAAAGTGGAAAGCACATATGGTTATATATCTATATCTATAAAAGAGGATGTTTGTATATATATTTGTTTGTTTGTTTGTTTGGGGGTGATAAACTCGGACACCGCTGAACCGATTGCCACGAAACTTGGTACATACGTGTAGAATGTCATGGAATAGGTTTATACACCATCAATTTCGTGATCCGTCC